TTTTTAATTTTGCAAGATTTTTCTCATTGATATGAACAATCTTCCCTGCATGTTTTAAATACTTTTTTTTTATACAACAGAACAGTTAACCAATGCAATCATATACTCATAAAAATTAGTAATTATAATTATTAATTATATACTACTAATAATTATATAACTTTAATTAAAATTACATGTTAAAATATTTTAATAATCTAAACAAGGGTGAAATATCTGAAAACATGAATCAGAAAGCACAAAATTGTACAAACATTCAAGTTGTCATATCACCAAAGTAAATATACAAGTTTCCTTTGTTTGCAGAAGGAGGTGTGGCCATAATGCAAATGAATTACACCCTATCATAAGTTATTTTTCCATTGCATTAAACTGACAAAATGCTAAAATGAGTAGAATCCATCTTGCACATTATGTTGGAGTAATGGATAGCGGCTTGGATTGAGGAATTGGAGAGCCGAGTTCAAATTCCAGTCGAATCCATTACTTTCATATGTGCTAATATCCTTGGGAAAAGTATGAATCCTCTTCTTCTGTCCCCCCCCCCCAGCTACGGGTAAATAGCAGGACAGACTGGGTTCTATTGCCTTGGATGGCAACTGGTCTACCGCAGAAAGAAATGGCAACCGACTGTGGGAAAAAATCTGCCTGACTGACCATTTGTGCATACAAGGGATACTGCTGCCATATCTGGTCTGGTGCTCCTGCTATACATATTGAGATTCTTGACAAATTCCAAAGGATCTATAATGTAATCAAACCTAACCAAGCATCTCAACTTACGTCAATTTCTCACCAATCGACATGCCCCCCACCCCCCCCAATCTGCTTTTTCTACAACTATTTTCATAGCAACTGCTCTGACGAGCTATTTTCCCTAGTTCTCCAATTACATGAATTTAAGCATGCTACTAGTTTCCACAATTTTACTGTTGAAATAACTAAATGTAATCACCATTTTTACTCCAACAGTTTCTTTTCTCGCACTTCCCACCTGTGGAACTAGCTTCTGTTTTTTTGCTTACTTCATGACTACAAGCTTCAAAAATTTAGATTTAAACATCAATCTCCATCTTCTGTCTTCTTGAACCCTGTTCATTTTCTTTTTTGTCTTTTCCTCAATCCTTTCTATTCTCTTTTCACACCCTGATATTTTAAAGTTAGTGTATTTGCATCTCTAAATGAGACCACAGTGATTGTATAAATTGATAGTTGTATATATGTGCATGTTAGTTTTTTCATGCAAATAATTGATATAAACTTCTTGCCTCCAATCATCAGTTAAATCTTAATTATAGTTAAAATATAACTTAAATCTACACTTTATTTATTTCAAATGGAGTATAATAAAAGTTAAGAAAGTCGAAATCTTCATGTACACACATGCAACCTCCTAGCAAAAATCTGGGGTTTTTTTTTCAGGAAAAATCAGTTGCTTTTATAGCAGTTTGGTCGACTATTTCCAGGTTTTCAATTTGTAGAGCATAGAAATGATTTAGCATATTTTTCTAGGCAATCCATTCCACTCAGTGAAACTTGAACCATAATTGTTTAACAGAATCTAATTTACATAAGCTTCCTGATCTCATTCAGTAGTAAAGCATTTTTCCTTCATTATTTTTATTTTTTTTTCTTCTTAAAAGTAGCATGTGACATGAAAGTGTTTTGACCTTCAGGTTATGTCACCATTTTCTTCTGTACAAATAGATACATAAGAAAGATGTTCCAAGTTTTGAGCCTGAATTCAGTCCTTTTTAAACTGATTCCAAATTACTGTTTTATTTGATTGCCTTATAATAATAATAATAATAATAATATCAGGTTGAGTCATAAATATTTTCCGTTTTCGTTTATTAACTGTATTTTTCAAATAATAAACTACAATTACATTTTATTCAATAATATATCCACCATTATTTGCAATGACTTCTTGTTGCCTGTCAAGAAACTCTTTGATACAATCTGAGTCAAATTTTGATGTGAAAAGCATTTCTACAAATTCTTTAATCTGGTTTTCATTAGAGAAAGTTTTCCCTATCAAATAGATACATTAGAAACATGTTCCAAGTTTTGAGCTTGAATTTGGTCCTTTTTAAACTGATTCAAAATTACTGTTTTATTTGATAATAATAATAATAATAATAATAGGTTGAGTCATAAATAATTTTCATTTTCGTTTGTCAGCTGTATTCTTCAAATAACAAACTACAATTACATTTTATTCAATAATATATTCACCGTTATTTGCAATGACTTCTTGTTGCTTGTCAAGAAGTTCTTTGATACCATTTGAGCCAAATTTTTGCACATTTTGATGTGAAAAACTTCATTAAAGAATGTTTTCTGCAACAAAGGATTTTGCAAATATCAAAAAAGGTAATAATAATCAGTCAGTGCAAGGTCAGGTGAATATAGCAGGTGAGGTACAACATACCACATTCAAAAATGTTTTCCTGTGTTTATTCTTACTCTATGCTGCTTTGTGTTGTCATGGAGGACA